AATAATTATAATTTATAAATAATGGATCCTAGCCCTATGAGTATGATATAATTAGGCAAACTACATACACACACAATCACAACTTAAAACATTGTTAGTTTGTCCATAGGAGTGATTCAATATTTCAATTATACTCAATAGAAGCGATGTTGCAAAAACTAGTTTGACTAGTATCACTAAATGTTGAATATCGTTGGAAAAACTAGTTTTATAGCATATTATATATCTCTTCATGCATCTATCATCAATAAATGTGATAGTATCACACCCTATTCAATGCTATGAAGAAACATCAAATTTCACATGACAATAAAATGAGAATCCGATTCACATGATAATTTGATACATGGCTACCAAATCATGTGTTATTAAAAATATACTGCAGCAAGTATCACTTACAAGCATGAATTTCTTAATGTCCAGAAGTAGCTCTCCTTCCATCTTTAAGTTAATTTGAACATCAGTTATTCCTATAGTTTAAGATCGTAACAATTCAAGCACATCTAAAACCTCTAAAATATCCATTTGTTAATTGCTTTCCGACATTTAGTTCCAAGTTATGTGATCCTTAATTAAAGTTTCATATTCCTACAGAAAGCTAACTATATTTTCATGCTGTAGTCCTAAAAGCTAAATCCTGCCACTAAAGAGAACTGTAATCAGCAACTTAGAATGTTAATATGAAGAGCTCTCTTGTTCAAAGGGAGATTGGATTGAAAACGGGGTTATTCCTAAAATTAAGTTCAAAAGAACTAAATGACCATTGAGGTTCATCCTCTCAAAATGAGTGCAACACAGGGTTATCTATTTTACTTGATCATAATATTAGTATCCTTAAGAAAATTATATGCCGCAGAAGAAAAAGAATCAATAAACAAGAGAGACTAATCATTCAATAGGCAATTCAAATCAGTTAGGCCAAAGGAAAGACGGTTATTTTAGTTAATACGGAACTTTTTAGCATAAATTATTAAGATTGAAAATCACAAACCTGATAAAAACACATTGACAAGGTAGAGATTGAGACCCAGAATCGCCAATCAAGAAGTCTATCTCACCACTTCAAGAAAGCTCCCAACATTGTGATAGAAAGATGATATAATCTTTAACTAGGAAGCGATTCTAGGAATACAAAAAAAAATCCAACAACCCCTAAATTAGATGATAACATTTTTATACTATCGCCACTATCACCACTTCATATTATTTGAATCCAAATATAGACTATAGGTCACTTGCACTACAGTTGAATAATCTTAGATGTATATTAGCAAAATGATGACATCCCTTTCAACAATTAGAAAAGGCTTCCCAAAACTTAAAGAAATCCTGGACTCAATTCCCCGAGTATATAACAATAAGTCTATACTTCTACCCATCCACACTAAATCTATCAATCGTGTTTTGTCAATTATCTTTAAGTGGTCAAAACCCTAGAATGCTACAAATGCTATCGTTGTTATTATTCTTTCTGAAACAAACAAATACTCCTGTCATTCCTGAATATAGGCACCTATTACATAGTTCACTCTTAGTAAAAAAAAATAAAAATAAAAAATTGGTAGCATGATTAATGTGTTCATTTTATGAATGGATGTGCCTAAAATACCCTTTATATATTGTATATAGTTAACATTAACTTTTCATATTCCAAAACACTTGGTGATATTTTAATTAGGGATTTATTTGGAAAAGAAACAAAATGTATCTAGTAATTTGAAAAAAGGGACTTACATTTAGGGATAAGTTGTGTCAAATGAGTGTTTATATTTAGGCCCAGAGGGAGTATATCATAATTGTTGCACCTCAATTCTAACACTTAAGAAATTCATATTCTTTAGTAAATTCCCCCATTTGATAAGCCAACATAACATTGCCATACCCCTCCCAGCATTGGTAGACAAATCAGAGCCAGGGGAGTTTGTGACCTAACAAACCTATTTAGGGTCAGGTACATGGTATATTTAATAATTGCATGAAGTTTTCTTCTTTTATTCATAAGTACAGCATGTGTTTATTATATCATTTTATTTCGTGTGTACTTCGAGAAGATCAAATCATGCCTTCTACCTGGTCTTAATTAGACTTGAACATTAACAGATTTACTCTAGTCTCTAGGGTTGCATTCGAGTTAAAATCGTGGCCTATTTAGGCCGGTGAGAAACAGACAATATTTGCCCCAACTCATTCCTTTACACCCCTATAGTCAGGAAGTCATTAACTTATAATTTTAAACCAAAAGTGGTTTACAATTTAAACCTCCTAGCTAGGAAATTGTTAGGATATAGATTAGAAAAATTAGTTAACTAATTCGTTAGCTTGTTATGTAGCTGGTCAGCTGGTTAGTTTGTTATGTGACTGTTAAGCCTATTGGCAATTCTTTAAATAGCCATACTTGGTTTAGGGGAGTATCTTTAAATATTATTTTTGTGAATAGAGTAGCCACTCTATTGTGAAGGGGAAACCTTGGAGGAGAGATCATCTCTTATTCTATCATATTTCTAAATGAATTTTTCCTAGGAGGCTTCATTATTGGTTGCATGACTTAAATCAAGTGGTTTGATACCATGCCTAAAGTTCGGCAATTATCATGAAAATGACGAACCAAAAACAAATAATGATAAGCTACGAAAGTTTAATCTTCTATTACTAGATATATCTAGAATATATCTAGAATTAGAAAACACCACGCCAGCATTTGGGATTCTTTTCCCTCACTCTGCTTCCATGTGTCACCATCTCTCCGGTAACTGGCAGCTAGTTGTTGAGTTTTTATGCATATATACTCTGCCAACTAAATATCGACGTTTAAGGTTGAGTTGCATAGATTAAGAAAACATTAGTTGCCATGCAATTTGCCTAGAATATACTTATTATATTCTCTAATATGCATTAATTGCATTTTCGTTTTCTAAGCTCTATCTCCAACTAAGGGTATATATAGTTGGAAAAACTAATAATTAGACATTGGAACTTTAAAACATCAAAAGTTTTAAAACAAAATTGAACGAATAAAATTTCAAGATATATGGAATGGAGGGAATAGTATAAATTACTTCATCTGTCCCATGATTAACTTGGAATAATTCAAGTAGCATTAATTTGGGATAGACAAGGAATAAAATAATTAATATTACATTAAAAATATAAGTGACAATTATGTTGGGAAATTTTTCTTTTGCCAATATGACACTAAATATGGGGGAAGAGCAAAACTATATAAATTGTATAAAATTTCTAAAATTGCGGCCATTCCGCTATCCCACAATAGCATTTTTGGGATTGGCCGCTACCCGAGATAAGAAAATAAAATGATAATTCATGGTAAAGTTTTACTCACTTCGTCCCAAATTATAAGTCACTTTGGAAAAAAAAAGTGTCCCCAAATTACAAGTTTTTTTGCAATATCAATGAAACATTAATGTTTCTTTTCCTATGTATTGCTCGCTCTTGTTTCAATTCTATTAGTTTATTTCTCATACCAATAGTGAAGGATAATTTTGTAAAGTAACTTATACTTTCTCTCTCATATAAAATTAATTACTTTTTTTTACTTGTGCAAAATTACTAAAGTGACTGATAATAAGTTGGGAAGGAGGGAGTATTAAGGGTTATAAATAGATCGGTAATCAAGTAAAGATGTGGCAGCCTATAAACTCATAGCAGAACAATGTACATATCTTCATTATTAGATTTCTTAGTTTTATTTTCTTAATGATGTACTACCTCTTCAATTTAAAAATGATTCCTTGGTTGATTTATCAAATACAATTCATGTCTTCATTTATCAACATTAATTTGCAGTGATTAACACAATTTGTATTATTTTCTTTTTTTTCAAAAATCTGTATCATTCTCACCAAAATTAATTCTTTGCATAACATTTCCATTTTTTTAATGAACATGTTTGTGTCTTACCTAATAAAAACTAATACTTTCCATAAACAGGTCAGTTAAGATCCAATTTACTATTTTTTTTCCTGCTATAAGAACCATTAGAATCAATGTTGTACAATTCCTGCACACTTATCATGCTTCTAACCAAGACTCGTGTCAAACCCTAATTTCAACAAGCAATATGGATGGCCAGCACTATTAGCCTACAAGTTTGCTAGGGAAGCAAAGGCAATTTCCTGAAAAGGGAGTTGCCTGAAAACAAGGTAAGCGTGTTCCTACCAGCCTGCTTTAGCACCTTCAGTGCACCTTTGACTTCATTGAATTCAACATCTAACAATTACTTGCAACTCTCGGGACGTGGGTGTTGAGGAAATAAAACATTAAATAAGAGAACTTTTAATCTTTCTAAATTTAAAACTAAATATAAACCAACTTTAAAAATGCAATTCATGGATTAATTAGAGGATAAATGAAAATGGTATCTCTTTATAGTGAATTTGCAATGACAATTTTGTCCCCTCTTAATCGCACAATAAAAACAAAATCTGGGTTTCAAGACAAAATAATCAAGACACTGATAGAGAAGAACCCCTTTCTATAAGATAAGATAGGCTAGAGATAACAGCATGGAATATTGAAAAATTCAATACAGTTGATCAGGAAACAATAACAAGAAAAGAAACAGGATATTCAATTATCAATCATCAAAAGGAGGCCTCTATTAAAAATCAAAATATAGCAATCCATAAAAACTGCACTTACCAATTGCATGTAAGTAACATAAGCAGCATAAAATGACAAACTACAAAATAGCACCAAGTTGGGACAACAATTCTAGTTATGAAGTATGGATTTCAAATTCAAAAACCAACAAACTTAACTGCCACAGGACTTCAGATCCAAAAAGCATCTCCATTTAACATATGATAGCTGCAACCTGAAATGACATGAACAGCATAAATAATATTGAGAAAGGAAAAGGTAGCCGAAAGATAAGTATTGCCAAATGCAATAATACAGCGTCAACTTCTTTTGACAAAACAGCATGAGAGCATACCTTAACTACTGCAAATCACAGCCACTTAATGCTTATTTCCATGACCCTAAAAACCAGTAGCCCTTATTTTATTTCCATCTTCAACGGAGGATTGTTCACTGGGTATTCTGAAAAAAAAAATAACCAAGGGTTTATCTTTCATAGGAAAGCTTAAATTTTTCCTGAAGCATGAAACGACATTAATGACATCAACAACAAAAGAACCTACAATTTCTGTTTCTTTGCATTTTGTTTGATTGCTTTAACTACATCCATGGCCATCTTCTGGTGCTCCCTTGTTTGAGAATGCAATTCCAAACCTTCAACTGTTTCACAGTCAATTTTACATATTCGGCACCACCCCGTACTGATGGCCTTTCTTCTCCTCGGATTATCAAACGGCCGATTATCTCTCTGAAAAACACAGAAGTAATAGACACAAATCAATTTCAATTACCTTGCTTCAATTCACATAAAAACAACAATCACAATATTCCCCAAAAACTTTGAGATTCTATCAACTCATCTTCAGTGGCTGACTATAACCCAAATGATAAGAATAGCAAACACAAAAATGAATGTTAATAATCAAAACTTAACGGTTAAGAATCCAGCGTCGTTATTAAATCCTGCGAGGGAAAAGCTGCTCCTAAACCCAGGTTCACCAAGCTGCGGATGACCTGGCCTGCTGCCTTGGGTAAAAGATTCAAAACTCCGAGAACCACTAAGTTCAAAGGCTCGCATATGACCAGGATGATCACCAAAACCAATACGCTCCCCCAGCCGCAAATGTCTAGGAAAATTATGTGGACCCAAATGTTCGCCCCTTTGGAAATGGCCAGCAAATTCGTCCTGACCAGTGAAATTACCCCTCCTTGGATGTTCGTCCATTCGAAAATTACCAAAACCGTCAAACTCGTCTCTATGCAAATGGCTAGGGGGATGAGGAAACCGACCATCACGGAATGCATTGCTAACTGAATCACCAAATCGATTTGCAGTTCTGCCTTCAAAATCATCTATACCTGACTTGCTAATAAGACCACCAGAGAGGGGCCCAAATCTACGGGAAGGCATATCTGTGTATTCACTACCAGGGCTTCTTGGAGCCATTCCATCCATTGGATGTATACCATATCCAGGACCTGGTCCAAGATGACCAGAATGAAGATTTGAAGTTGGTTTCTTGATGGCATCATCATGAAAGCCAACTGGTCTCTTTCCAGCTTCATGTAGACCTAATGAATAATTTCCATATTTAGAACCTGGTTCAGCATCCAAAGGATGCCTGGGGAATTTCTTGAGATCATCTTCAAACTCTCTCCGATCAATATTTTGCTGACTAGGAATTTGGAAAGATTTGAACCTTTCATCCTGCACGCCAAAACCTTCAGGAGCATGTGGTGGAAAGTTGGCTGGCATTCCACTGTGCATATCTCCATGTGGTGGGGCACCAAACTGTGGTCCTCCACTTCGAGACAAATTGGAAGCTCCAGTATGGAAAGGCGGTTCATGAACTTGGTTATATGATCCTGCTGGAGGTCCATGAGGCTGAGGTTGAAAGCTCCGGCCTGGAATATTAAACTGAACATCAGAACCATGTGGTTGCTTAAACACGGTTGGCTGAAAACTATCCATGGAGTTTAAGGCCTGTCCTGAACGAAGTGCAGGTGCAGTTCCATGATTCCTGAGAAGAGTTGAAGAGTTTGCTGCAGAAAGGGGCTGATTTGGACCTGTTGGATGTGGCAATTGTGATGTCAAAACTGTAGAAGACCTCTGCTGGAAAGAAACTGGATGAGCTGGCTGAGCTAAGCCCCCGGACTGCATTCCTCTATATTCATCAATGCCGGGTCCATGACCACCATTTGTCTGAGAGACAGCTGGTGCAGGATTGTCAGCACCAGAAGGAGGCCTTGGAGTACGAATATCATCACTGTGCAGTTTGTCAGTTTCCGATTCAGAGGGTTTTGGCTCTGTCTTCAGTGGGGGTCCACCTTGAATCTCATTGCCTTGTACAACAGAATGTTCATTACTATCATGTTGAACTTTGGTGCTTTCAGAAGCCACACCCTTTCCAACATTATTATTCAACGTATCACCGTTTTCAAATGCATTAGCATTTGGGCCTAAAGTCTTCACAGAGTGTGGATCTTCACTATTTTGCTTACTCCCAACCTCAGTGGATTTCAAACTTGTTTCTTTTTCAGATTTCAACTCATTTTTTCCAAGTTTCCCTGAGGCAGAGTCAGTTTGTTGCTCAGTGACATCACCTTGTCTTTCAATTGGATCTGGTGCCCTTGACTGCACTTGATTATTGGTCCCAACCAACATATTCTGATTCCCTGGTCTAACAGGAATTGTATTGGCAGTGTGTGCAAATGGCTGTACGTGTCCTGCATGATTGGGAATTGAAGGCCTTCCAATGACATTTTGAGATAGTGTGGTATTACCCTTGGACTGGGGATAAGCATGCTTGGGAAAAGAATGTACTGGACCTTGAGGTCGAAGATGAGATGGCATTGGGGTCTGGTGTTGTGCAAATGGTTGCTGAGGTAATATTTGTTGAACCGGTTGCAAAATAGGACGCTGGTTGGTTTGTCCAGTTTGTTGATTAGGAGTGTATCCTGGCTGCAGTTGCAGAAGAGGGGTGCTTTGACCTTGAACAGATGAAGGCAACAAAGCTACCTGCTGATTAGGATACATAGCATGAGACTGATTTGGGCGAATCATTGGAGCTTGTTGAGGAAACTGATTCTGCATCTGGACAGGATGCTGGCCCTGGAGCTGCCCACTTGGAGGATTCGAGTGCATGTTAGATTGAGGGGCTCCCACTTGCATATTCTGATGAGACAGAGGTTGGGGATAAGAGTGATGACCTGTAACTGCATGTGACATTGTATTTTGCCCTTGAGACTGTACATTAGGAGCCATGGGCAGGTGAGATTGCATCTGAGGCTGAGAAGGATGTTGAACTGGAGCATTAGGTTGCATTTGTGGATGAACTTGAGGTTGAGGAACGGGATACTTCTGAACTGGTTGCTGATTTTGAGGTTGTGGATGCTGCAGTTGAGGATGAGGTTGCTGATAAGGAGGGATTTGCATATTTTGTTGGGGTTGCCCAGAATGAGGCTGAACTTGGGAGTAAGGATAAGACTGAGGCTGAGGGAAGGCTTGACCATGGCCAGGTGGGTGAGTCATCTGCCCATGTGGCTGTACAGCAGGTTGAAGCTGCTGTGGTTGTTGGTGAACTTGCATATGATTCTGAGATTGTGGAGCTGCAGGAGTCTGCACATGTGAAACTGGTTGAGACAGTCCTTGAGCCTGAGGCTGTGCTTGAGGCTGCGACTGGGGCTGGGGCTGTGTCTGTGGCTGAGGTTGAGGCTGGACATAGGCCTGTTGATATTGTGGAACAGCAGACTGTTGATAAGGGTAATACTGCTGATACTGCTGTTGGTATTGATCTTGTCCAGGGTATTGCTGGTAATATTGTTGATAGTGTTGCTGCTGATACCATTGATCTGCTGTTGCCTGCACAGCCGCTTGGCCTAAAGGTTGGGTTTGAGATGCCGGGTTGGGTAGCTGATTTGAAACATGCACAGCTGCACTAGTTGCAACCACTGATTGAGAAGTCACTGGTTGTGAAGCTGTTGCTGCAACTGGAGCCACAACCTGGTTTTGATCGGTAGATGCAACAGCAGAAGCACCGGTAGCTGAAGGGTCCTGGGCAATGCCCCCCTGCTGTACCTGACCTTGCACGCCCTGCCAATTAACAAGCATGAGAACCAGCCTGCCAGTAATAGATAGAATGAAAGAAAAACAAAACATATATATGCATATACACAACACTTACAGAACAAGTTTGTGCATGTTCTTGAACTTGACTGTGCACTATTTGAATCCCACACCTGTTGCAAACAACAGGAGAGTTGCCAAAAGTACATCCAGAACAATGAGATGTACACTCAGACAAAGTTCCTTGCCATGAGCATCCACTCCTGTGATACAAGCAATGAACGGCTATTTTCCCAATAGTTTCAGCAAGTGTCTTGTTCGTCTCTACCAAAGGCTGCAATTAAAACACCAAAATACAAATTCATAAAACCAAGGAAATACAAAAGAAAACACTTCGCGTTGCTCAATGCTCATAAGTACATTCAAAATTCAAACGAATATGTAAGAAAATAACCTTGGAATCGGCCTCAGTCACCAAATAACCATCATAAGGACAAGCCCTGGTAGTACTCACTACATACGTCAAACACGGCTTGCAATATAAATGAGTACATTGTGACTGCAAAGCTTCATTCGGAAACACGAGAAGACGACAAACAGGACAAAAATACTCTCCAGCAAGAGATTGAATATTGATTATGCACTCATTATCAAAACCCATTTTCAACTATATAATCACAGCTTCACCTCCAATCATGCATAAACTTAATAACCTAAACACAATAAATTAATTCAATCAAAACGCCGAACTCTCAACATATATCAAACAACAATCAGAAATACACGAACTAATTAAGCTCTAAAATATCGCAACATTTATATGAACATGCAAAAGAAATGACTAAAACCTAGAAGATTTAGAGATGATTCGGTAACCGAGTTAATCTGAAAAAGTTACCGATTCAACTCGTAAACCAAAACCCCAACCGAGTTAAACCTGTTAAGGGAAAATAATCAATCAGAAAAAAGAGAGGAAAAATTTGTGGAAGGTGGTGTTTTTTATATATGAGAGTTGAAACAAAGAAGAAGGAGTTACCTGACGTTGAGATCCAAGGATTTGAGAAAGATTGCGTTGTGAACGAGAGTGAGAGAAAGGCGTAGCCGAAACGAAGAAGGGTCAAGTGCAAAATGAAAACGGGTAATATAGAACTAGTTTGTTTTGCCTTTAAAATAATAGATTTCTTATTTTTATTTTTAAAAACGATTTTTAAAAAAATCATTTTTTTAAGTGTTCAGCGTCATTGATATTCTCCATGATCCGGCCACATCTTCCGAGATATGATCATTATAAGAAAATAAATTTCCAGTTTGCTCTGAGTCAGACACGCCCCTTTTCTAAACTAGTCACTACAAGGCGTAACATTTCAGATCAGGTTCAAAGTGTTTAATGAAGCGTCTAGAATCTTTTCTGATCACTGAACCTTCAGTAATCTAGAAGTATAATGTCTTGTCATCCAATATATTTAACGGTTTTTTGCATTCTACATCGGAAATTTATCAAGTTGGTTATTTTGCTCCCTATCCATGTGGATGGCGTCATTTCAAATAACAAGTTTCAAACACAATTTAAATACTATCTCATCATTTACATGAAGGTGTGAAAAAACACAAGAAATGGGGGTTTGAATTGGGTTTTTAAAAATATTTTTTTTTATGAAACTCAAACAAAAACCACAAAGAACTAAGCAAGAGAGAAAGACTCACGATGTATTTTGGTTCACTCGAAAACTATCAAGTTAATCCAGTCCACCCGCCAAGGTGATTTTGCCTTATCCAAGAACTTAATCCAATATAGTCAACTGATTACAATCTGCACTACCAATAGCTGGTGACTAATAACCACAAACATTAACTGTCTAAGTCTTCTTAAGGATTCTGACCTAACTGGTCCCTTAAGGAATTACAAACAAAAGTTTGTGAAAGATAAATGTTTACAATGAAATGTTTCTAATCAAGTAGATATAAACACTATAAATATCTTTAAAACACTTAAAGAAAATTTGCACACAGTATGAGTATAGATGTGTTCTTGCGTTGTGGTGTTTCACTACTTGCTTCAATTTTTTTCAAGTTATCACGTTCTTATATAGCCAATAAAAGATCTGTTGGAGGGCGGATCAGGAATATCCTTGAGTGAGTCGGCGACTTGAAAGAATGTCGTTACGTAGGGATGAAAATTGTACATAAAAGTTGTCCTTTTCACCACAAAATCAGGGTAGTGGAATGAAACGTTTTTGATACGTACTATGTATTATTTCCCTCGTAAACATTTGATCTTATCTATTGTACATCAGAGGCTTCTGAATAGATATGTTTGAAGCATGAGTAGAAGAATTAATCACTGAGTCTTCGGAGTCTTAAGTCTTCAGAACTTGTTCAACTGAACCTTGTCTTCAGAGTCTTCAGCACTTAGTCTTCAGAATCCTTAATCTTCAGAAACTTAAGTCTTCAGAGTCTTCAGAACTTTGTTTAGCAGAACCTTGTCTTCAGTACTTAGTCTTCAGAATCTTTAGTCTTCAGAACTTTGTTCAGCAGAACCTTGTCTTCAGAACTTTAGCACTTAGTTTTTATAAGCGAACAACTTCAGAAGATAGAAAGCCTTCATAAGTAAATCATCAGAGTCGCGCTCAGAGGAAGAATCTAAGAGAGCATTGCAGCAACAACATATTGTCTTCTTAGAATCTTTCTGAATCTGAGTAGGTACAGAAGCAGACTTGCTTCATTAGTGCAGAAGCGACTTATGTCATATCAGAGTGGCGTTTCATATGGTCTCTATCAGAGTCAGAACCTGTTTGTTAAAACTTCAGAATAACAAATCGTTAGAGTACCAAAATTATTTTCACACAAACACTACCTTGTTATTATCAAAAGTTAGAGATAAATAGCATAACCAAATCTTGTTATAACAATCTCCCATTTTTTGATAATGACAAAATAATGTATTTTGATGAAACAATTTCGTACAAAAATATTCAATAGGTGATGGCAGAGATATGTTTAAAAATAACTTCCCTTTATCAAGCTCCCCTTAAATCCAAGACTTATAAAAAATCTTATTAGATTTAGGATAACAGAGCTTGATTATACGCATCTTATCAGATTTGGGATAACAAAGCCTGAATGGTCTTATCAATTATCGAAGCAGGTTCAAGGATGATTTTTATCATATGCATCAGATAGTCATGATTGATAGAGTTTCAATGTCATTCCTGAAAAACATTATAAGAAGGATTGTGTGCATTTATTATATTAGAATGTCAGAGTTATGATTCAGAGAACAAGATATTTTTATCAAAATAATTTCTTCATTAATACTCCCCCCTTTTGTCATAATAAAAAAGGTAATAAAAACAACAAAGAAAATATAAGAGGTAACCTAGAAAGTGTTTAAGGTTGAGGAGGAGGGAGCCTCTGAAGAATCTGAGCGAGCACATTCTGAATGTTGGATGTAACTTTGTCTTGCTTATCCATTATAGTTCTGAATAACTCTTGTTCCTTCTAAATGCTTTCCAAAGTCTTTAACATTGGATCAGAGTAGGATTAACAGAGCTTCTAACAGCGTTCAGAGCATCTTTAAACTTCTTCATTGCTGCTTCTCTCTCAAGAACTTCCTTAGCTTGTCTTTCAGCTAATTCTTGACCTTCCTTAGTTTGTCTTTCAACTAATTATCTTTCAGCAACTAATTTTTCTTTAAGTTCTCTCTGAGCTTCTAATTTATCTTCATCTTACTGGACAAAGTGTTCTTTTTTTGAACAGAAATATTTTTTATCTTCTTAAACTCCACAGACATCCATTGATTGAAACGATTTCAGGTAGCACTCAGAGCAGAAGGGTCAGCGCTAGAAATGGGTTCATCAGAAAGTTTCTTGACTCTCCTAACTGCATTGTCTTTAAAAATAGAAATGACTTCTTCAAGGTTGGGAGGGGAAAGATCGGAAGATTGATGTTCATGAAGTGTTTGGGTTTCTTCATCAGAAGCATCTAGATTAGATAGTGTTTGGTCAGAGTCTGAATCAGAGATTGTTTCTGGTGATGAAGGGTCAGGATTATTAGAGATGGTTAGTGTATTTATATATGGAGAGGTTTATGATGTGAGTGATTGAGGGTTGTTTGTTGGAATAGGTTCTGTATAAATTTCTTCATAATTGGTTTGAGTGATGCTTTTAGAATTTAACGATAAAGAGATGGTGAGAGTTAATGGTAAAGATATAATGAGAGTTAATTGAGTGGAAGTGGTTTGAGAAAGAGGTTGTGTAGATGGTGTAAAGGATGGAAATATTTGAGATGATGGTGGTTCAGAAAGAGGAATGGATGAGGTTGTAATTATGGTTGAGAATATTGCAGGTGGTGTTGGAATGAATAAATATACATTTCTATTAGAAAGAATAAATGCAATTATAGAAAAGTCAGAAGACTTACTTGTCTATTCTAGATAGGATGTTGTTGACCTGAAGTTTCGACCAGAGAGAAGCGGCGTAGAGATTGGTCGATAGGCTCAGTAAACTGTTGATGAAGAGGGTCGACATCGACAAGAGGAAGATTGTTGGGTCGACTCCCAATTGCGTCGGTCAAATGGGTTAGCTAAGTTTTATGCAAAGAGACAACTATTTGAGCGGGAAATGGATTTGAAATCCAAGGGCGTGGGAAGTTATAAAAGTAGTGGGCGAACACGTGGCATCACCAAATTCAACATGGCAGCTATTTATTTCTCTATTTAAAGCAATGCATGTTTTCATTTTAGAGGTGCATTTTTGTAATACTATAAGAAAAATACACTGAGTACCAAAGCGTTACGAGAAAAGAGTTTTCACTCCTGCAAGATGTACGATCGCGTTTACATTTCCCTTTTTATAAGCAATTTATGTCATTAATTCTAAATGTGTCTTTGCCTTGTGTTTACTCCTTTTACATAAAGTTATTTCTCATTCCTTTGTACACTTATCTAAGTTTTCAGTTTTACTTACAAATAATTCCCAGTCTATTTCAAATAAACCCAATTCCACCATTTTCCCATTGTCGCTACTGCGAAAATCGGCGTCGGCTGAACAGAAGAGTCGCCACCGTGCGTTATTTATCCCAAAGGAGGGAAAGGAAACGCTCAGAGTAAACCTAACACAAAGACGGGAAAGGAATGGTCATCGCAACCAAATCCTGGATTCGGGAGTCGGTTACGCAAGGGGAAGGTATTAGCATCCCTCACATCCGTCGTACTCGACGGGATCCACGCTTGTTTTCTGGTACGGATTGTTATTCTGTCTATTCTACAGGTCTGAGGTTAAAGGAAAATAAAATGACTCGGCAAAGTATCGCACTTTATGCCTACGTATTCCCGTCTGGAACGAGAAATCAGAGTCAACGTAGTTCGCCTACCTACTGGAAAGGAGGGGAAGGTTGCTCGCTAGGATATCGCATCCTATGCCTACGTACTTTCATACAGCATGAAAGATCAGAGCAAACGTAGTTCGGGCCACGGAAGACACCGATTTGTTTGACTGTTTTTTATCCTTCTGAAAAAGGTTTTCTCCTGATTACGGGTCCAAGCGGACAAAAATGACTCTTTGATTGGTTTACAGTCTTTTACGCAAGAACTGTCTTTTATTGATGTTTATCCTTTTATTGTATTTTTTCTGATTGTTTTGAGAAAGAAGAGAAATAGCAACT